GAGCCGCCACTGCTGGTAGTCCTCATTTGAAAAGACTTGTTCCGCCACCAGAACCAGGTGAGCATGCCATTCGAATAAATATTATTTTTTATTATCTTTAATAAAACATAAATATCATATCCTGATATTTGTAGATTTTGATAGAGTATGATGTTACCACCATCACTGATGTAGCGGCAAAATGGATGGCCATGTTACCGGTCTTATAGCATCTGATGCTGACTGTGATGCTGGCAACCAATCAGATACAAGCAGGACTAACGAAATCAGTAAGGTGAAGAAGAAATCAAAGACACTTAATCGATTAAGGTGAGAAGAATTAAATAATTTAGTAGCTCGTTGTTACCATCGGTACCAGACCACTAACTTGTTACAAATTTAATTAATATACACTCCCTGACATTTTTGAAAATTATGTCAGTCTTAATCTCAAAAAGGCCACTACGCTTTACATTAACTTGATCAAATGTCTTTGAATACATACTATTCTCCCATGGTGATTCAATATATTGTACAGCTAGTAGATAAATGATGAAAAAACAAATAGTTACCGTATTTATTTAAATATATGCCCCGCTTTGAATAAACGAACCCCCTCCCCTCCAGAGAATCATTTGTAATAAAGCCTCCCTCGAATGGGCATTTATTTTTTCCTCGAACAAATGCCACCTGACTGTAAAGAAAACTAATGGAGGCAACATCACTCTCAACACATTCTATAAATATTCTACTCCATTAGAATTGCAGCATTTTTTCTAACCTGGTTGGGATCAATATGTCTTTAGTGTCACACAATAATTCATTTTAATGGTAATTATGTGTTCTAGTTCCAAATTTATAGTGAAATTTATGTATACATTTTACACCAAAAAATCTCTAATCCCTCTAATAAACACCTCCATCAAAAATCCCTCTTAACAATAAACTCTGGGGCGTTTATTCAGTTAATTACTTTAAATTCAGTATCGGCATCCTTTTCAACACTACATCATTTTAAAGATCTTTTGGAGAGATTTGGAGAGAATTACGAAACACTTAGTAAACGAGATGATTTTTACAAGTCTTTAATTTTTCTTTGTTCTTATTGCTTTCAGGGACAGGTAATTGTGTTTTATCTTCATCCACCTGCTTTCCTTTATGCACATGCAATCTTTAAAATTTCACTTATTATCTTATAAATGGTATTGAACTGATTTTTGCTTCTTTTTTTGTAATTAAGTACCATATTTTTCCAAGTATAAGCCCAACTAGGTGAGCTTCTACAAAATTGCCAGAATGAGCTTTTATAGACAATTCTTTGAAAATCAGATTTCACAATGTGAAAATGGTTTAATTATGGCTTTGTTTTTCAAAACATGCAAAAATACATTGTAGGCCATGGCACTATATTGACACTATGTGCCCGACAATCATTTCTATACTCTGGCTGGTATCGAAATGTCTTCAATGCAGTATATTGTTACGCTTTGACAGTAAATTTCCAAGAATTTTGATTGGTATTACATCTAGGTGTGATAGGAAAATGGCTTCTTACTGAACATTGTAGAGCTGAGAGTTGAAGTATGTGAAAGATTCACAATAGGCTGTTGAAGAGTAAATAAAAAAATATAGCACTTTTTAACTTCTGATCATGATTTCTGACATTACACAAATTTTCAATTTTCGATTTTTTTTTATACACTTAAAATATATTGTGCTGTGAATTGTTGGTAAAGTTGGCTTCAAAATTCATTTCCATGTTGTTGTTGTTGATTTTTTGGAATAATAACACATTTGTCACTATGGAATTAGTTTTCCTGACCAATTCATGTCATATTAAAATGCTTATAGTATAATGTGTATAATTATCTCACACATAATAGAAAATTAATTCTGACATAAAACAATTGTGAATAAAACATGTTGCTACTGAACAACATCTCTAGAAGTTTGTTCCGTGAATCTAAAAACTAAATGTAGAAACTTTTATTCTCTCACTCATTCGTCTAGCATATCTGATATATCTTGTAGGTATACTATAAAACCAAGTTATAATTTTGCTATTTTATTTTTTTATGCATACTGTATAAAAAATACATTTGCAATTGGCAGCTGTACAGCTGAAATTGTTTTGATCGCAAAATCAGAAAACATCCAATAATAAAATATTATATGATATATTACACTATACAAAAAATCATATTCAGAACTCCATAAATTATACTTTTATATTTTAAATATACCTGATGTAAGCCCTTTCTATCTATGTGTTTTACCTTCAGATACATTGAAATATTGATGCTGTTCTGATTAAGAGTCTTACCTAATCATAGGAGCAAAGATTTGGACAATAATAAACTGTTGTTAGTTTCTATTAAACCTTACGATTTATGAATCAGATCACTCCATTATTATCTGAAATTTATAGACAAAATAACAATATCTGTACTGTCTTTTATAGAAAACTAAAAAAGACAAATGGAACCATCTCACCAACCACTGGACTATCACCACGTCCTCCAGATGGTAAGCCAGAAGATACAGACAGAATTGCTTCTCATGGTTCCTTAAGAGATGTATTCAACCAAAAGGACTCCAAGCCAAACATTACCAATGGAGAGGCACAAGCTGATAAAAATGAAACGAGCGAAGCAAGCACACCAATAAAAGTCAATTCTGCTTTTGTTGCTAATGTATCTTTTGGTGGAAGCTCCTATCGTCCATCACCACCACCAAAGATCACAGATGGTAAGGACTCTGTAACTGATAAGCCTAGGCCGGTACCTAGGCGACGAATCATCACACCACCACTTTCCCAAGAAACCACCCCAATTCAGGAGTCTCAAGAGCTTACATCCTCAAAGTTAAAGAATGAAAAACATCAAAGACAACATGAGTCTGATTCAGTTTCACAAGAAAGCCATCCAGAGGTGACATTAAATGGCAGAAAGTCTTCAAGTACTTTAAACATAAGGGAATTTTTGCCATCAGATGAGTCAATTCCAGTGGAACTTGATAGACCACTAAAAACTGATGACTCACACAATTCTAAAGAGACAAAGGGTAATCCAGTCATGGTGTTTGATCCTGCCACTGGTGAGATGGTGATGAGAGGAGGTTGCAATAAAGTAAAACCTGGTAATGTGATGTCTCCAGTTCAAAAGAAAACTGGAGATTCAAGCTCTGAAGATGATCTTGTTATACCAATGAGTGGTAAAAAAACTTCAAATAGTCATCGTCAGCCACTTTTACAAAAGGAACCAGGTATCACAAAAGATAAAAAAAAGGATGGAACGAAGGAAAATTTGACTTCATCCAATATTTCTAAAGGATTTTCGAAGCCTATAAAGGCATCACCACTGCGTACTTCATCACAGCATCAAGTAAATGAAGGTCTTCTATTAAATGGAAACGTTGAAGACAGTGATAGTGATGATGATATCATTGTTGTATCATTAGCGCATAAGGGTAAGAAAAAGGCTACCCCTTTACCCGCTGTGAATTCAGCAGAAACTCAAAACCTTGTGGGGAAGCATGATTCCTCTAGAAGGTCTAAAGTCATTTCATCACCTCTTCCTGTGAAGGAAGTAATAGAAACTGAATCATCTTTCATTGTTAAGCCACGAGGTGTGCCATCAGAGCCGCACACTCCCAGTCAAGAATCTGGAGTTGAATCTGATAGGTCAACCACTGGCTCAAACTATCAAGACGATATGTCTAGTGAGCCTGGCACATCTTCAATGCACAACAAACTACCACCCATTCAATCAAAACACACAATGCAGAGTGTTTCATCTCAGTCACTAAGGACTTCTTGTAAAATGGATGGAAGCCTCCATTTAAAAGATGGACAAAGAAGTGATTCTTTGCCATTCTCAGAACCTGTAATGGGAGCAAATGATACTCTATCCATGACCAACCGGTCTTTCATGTCAACTGGAGCTTTACCAACACTTACAACGAAAGCCGTAAAGAACAGGTGAGATATGTATTATCACTTTTAAAATGTGTACCGTACACAGCCTCAAGTGCCATGACAACAATATTAATCTTTGTTAAGTTTTTCTATACTACCCTATATTTTGCTTCCCATTCAAATACCTACTTTTGATTTTGACAGGCATTAACATTCTATGATCAATTAAGTGCGCTGCTCTCCTTGTATTTCAGCTAGAGGGCTGAAATGCAAGTTGCGAAAGCACACTATCATTCAGATACGTTGGTCCTGTGTGCATTATGGCCCATGTGCACGTTAAAGAACACAGTACACTCTTTGGGAAAGAGTAGGGGATTGTGTCTTGGTGTACTGCCCAATCACCTACCAGAAAGACCCCACTGGAAATAAGTCGTCTTCAGACTTTCATGGGTTATCCTTCAGGCCCGTAGCCAGGGGGGGTTTTTATGGTTTGGGCGAACCCCCCTTTTCTAGCGAACCCCCTCAAATTTTTGAATGAGCCCCACTCGGACGGAATAGGCCTCTGTTTTTAACTTAGGCCCTACCCAGCATTAAAAATCAAAATTTAGCACCTAATTCATTATTTAGTCATCCGTTTTTAAATTGTAGCAATTGATACAAGCCTACATTCATAGAATAGGCCTATCTCAGCTTTAGAAGTTGAGATTTAAATTGAACGCAACTCCAGCAAACCATGACTTTACGATGGCTCACATAAGGATAGCAAACATCGATAAAAACCCGGCTGCCGTCTTAACTTTCACTGGCCTTTGGCTGAATGTTTGTAAGAAATGTACCAACCGGTAATAAAACCGGTCGCCGTCTACCTAGAGTAAATGGTGCCACCAAACGAAGCTAAGTTTTACGACTTAATCAACCAATGCAGATAAAGTTTTGCGACTTAATCACCTGATTGTGGATTGTGTGGTTAGTGAATTCCATAGACACACTGTCCATAGCGCACACTCAACTGTGCTGATGGAGCATTTTTGGGAAATTGAATCTCCTTTTTTCCATCCCAAACAAAATATTATTAATAAATCAACATGGTCCATCTCAGTCATCATAGCCAGTCACAAAATTAGGCTAGGAAGTTTGTTTTAAACAGCAGACACACACAACAGAACGGAGTGCGTCAATCGGAGTTTGTTAATTTTTAGTGATAAAGAATCGTAACGTAGAATAACTGACTTTTTTTCGTCCGCTGTTGCAAAGAAGAAAGCGACAGATAGTCCTTTAAGGTGGGTTATTGATTACAAAATCAATTAGCCTAGCCTAGATGTTGACTAGCTAGGTTCGCTCCTCGTTCATTTAGAGAACAGAATTATACCCCAACGGCAACAAACTAGTGTAGGCCTAGGCCTAAGTACAGTAGGACATACTACTTGGCCCAGGCTTTTGTTGTATGTACAGGATGCGCCATAGGCTTATATTAAAAAAAAACAAAAAAAAAAAACATTTTGTTTTAATTATTATTGGTTGGCCTGAGACCTAGGCAGGCATGCCAGCTTTACAGTACCTTCGAAAGTCCTGAGATTCGACGATGACAATGCACGTTTACAAACGCCATTGATTGGAATAAAAATAGACGCGCTGAATTTCGTTTTTTTTTTTTTTTACGAAAGATAGAATTTATTGAACATTTATCTATATAAAAACAAGATTAATATTGTATAAATTGTATTTTTAAAGATTCATATTTAATTCATATTTCATTTGGTAGACAATAAATATTCAGTAAGATATACTAAAAACGATTATTATTTCTGAAATGTGCATCAAATCTCAGCTATTATTAATCAGTATGTATTAAGTTAAAGTCTTAAAATAATAATTTCGAATAGGCCTAGTATATAACAAGTAATTAAAGTTCCCATGATGTTAGATGACGTATTAAATATGATGCTATATTTTTGGCTCTGACTTCATTTAACGATGGCCCTGTCAGTACTGTAGTAATGACAATATTTGTAGATTTATAGAATATATGTAGTAAAATAGTAGGCCTACTATTATTTTCAGTGTACAAAATGAGAGTAAAGAAGAAGTAGTAGAACCAGAAGTATAGGAAGAGGAGGAAGAAGAAGAAGAATAATAGCCTTTTTTGTTTTATAATAATAAATGTGTTGAGTATATTGATATTGATTATGCGATGAGGGTTTTTTTTTTTTTTTTTTTCGGTGTGACTTAAACATGCTAATTCTCAGAAAATATTTTCTAATTATATTATATTACCACCTTTTTATTACATAGATCTTTTTCAAAACATAACTGCTTTTATAACATTATATAGACCCATTAAACACAAAAAACTGCTCTGGCTTCGGGGGCTTCGTCCCCCACCCCACGTGGCCCTTAGGCAGGCCCCTGGATCGCACATCCAGAGAACCCCCTCTAGAAATGACCTGGCTACGGGCTGTCCTTGGTGTCTACACCGAATATATCGAATTCAATCCAATTCCCTGTGCTGGTTTGCAAATTTTGTATGTTATCCAGTGACCAGGGATAATAATGCTTTCCTTTGATCATTGATTTGGAATTTACACTATATAAATCTTCAGCACTTATTATATTGTGCATAGTTCACTAATGCATATTGGGAATATAGACAAAATCACATTTAGTAAAGTTCTTATGGCATGCCTCATTTCAGCCGTTTTAATGTGGGTCATACAATTTCTTTCCAATCTATTAAGTTTTCACACTGTAACTGAAGTGAACAACTGACTTGGTGTTAGAATTTAACTACTTTCAAAAGAGCCTGTTGGGTGTTGGATAGAATATTTCTCGGGAAAAACTGTGGTTGTGACTGTTAAAAAAGACTGATTTAATAAATTAATAAGACATGACAGAAATATTTCTATGATATTATTATTCATTCATTTACATTCTGCAAGCAGTATCTGTTGTACAGCATCAATAGGGAAATGCCTAATATTAAATATTCATTTTTTATTTGTTTATTTGCTTGTGTATTTGATTGATTTTTATTCTGAAGAAAAAAAAACAATCAACAACAGCTAACAAAGTTATTTGTATCAAAATATTTATAAGAATTATGCAATAAAATTTCAATAAGGAATATTTCAACAAGAATGGTTGGAAAGATACTGCATATAATGTAAATTAACTGTAATGCTTTATAGCAATAATCCTATGTATTGAATTGGCTGTGCAATAGCTTGTATTAAATTTCAACTTTGCTGATATCATAGTAAATGTTAATAGCATGACAGAGCTACTATTTCAAGCTAGCAAGTCAAAATTTATAAATCAAAAGCTAATAAAAAATCCTTTAATATGCACAGTCCAGATTTTTGTTCAGGTTCATGATTGATTGGAATATCAATTACAATTTTAATTATCAATTATCAGAAAAATTCTATCTTGCTTTTAGAAGTGTTCATCAATTATGATTTTTTTTTTTTTTTTTACAATTTGCAATTAAACCAGTTTTCCAGGCAGAGTCATAGAAACCAGGACACTTTAAAAAAAATTGTTAGTGTCAAAATTTCATTGAGACTTTCTGTGGGGGAAAAAAACACCTGTTGCAATATTCTGTATGTATCATAAATAATAGAATGACGCCACACAAATAAGTGATACTTTAAAAAAATGAGGCAATACTATTTCGTGGGAGTATAAAAAGTCCATGAAATGAAATTTAACAGCACATTGTGGCTCAAATATACTGTAATGCATTGAGAAATGATCATTTTGGCCAGTGAGCCCTGAGCTTCGATTTTGACAATAGCATGTTATTACTTAGAATATAATTTGTTTAGCTTTAAGCTTAGAATACCAATTTTAATTTGAATCATTCAACTTAGTATTTAATTCAAGAAACATTTATTTCTATTTTATACGTGCAGACTGCACACCGCCAAATATTCTCTATGCACAAATAATGTATTGTCATATGAATATCAAATCTGTATAAATGTACAGTACTTTGTTTTAATAATTTGGAAATAAAAGTCTGAATAAACTTATGTATGTAAAATTAAAAATATTTTTGAAATATGTATAATCAACATATCAATCTATCTTGAATTAACTTGTAAATTTTATTAGATCATTTTTCATTCTTTTTCATGTTTCTTGTAAAAATATATGATTTGATAAAAATATATGTTTGATTAAAGTACTTTCAACTTTAAATTGATAAAGCAAATTAAACACAAATAGTATCTACCACTAGTTTTAGAGAAAAACAAACATCTTTACAAAAACTACTTTAGAGCTTGAGTTGGTGTATACAATATCACAAGGGTATTGAAATACTTGTATTAATGGTATTTATTAGGAGCTATTTAAGTGGTGGACTGCAGGCAACAAACAGCCTTCTAGGTAAAGAGGAGCTTGAACGTTATTTCCCTGACCGACAGCTGAAGATATTCATGGCAACGTGGAATATGCATTCTGAGAAAGTAAGCATCATTTTTAACTTAAAATAAATAATTGATTTTTTGTATGACGTACAATTGACGATGATTTATGTTGCAGACATACATCCAGTGGCATATCTAGAAGTTATTTGATTAGGGGCTGATAGGGGAAAAGGTGAAGGGGGTGGGGGGGGGGGGGGGTGCTTGATGATTAGACTGTAAATGAGGGGGAGCTAGCTTGCAAAATAAGGTGATATGAGGTGCTTTTTAACTACAGTTGAGCATGATTTTTTGAACATTTCCAGTGGGGTGGGGTGACTAGGCAGCCCAAGCTTTTTTTTTTGTGGGGGGGGGACATGCACCACTTAGGTATGTCATCTGCATCCATAGGCCTATTTATATTTATTTTTAAGAAACTGATGCCTTTATCTATGGGTGTGCCTCTATTTTAGAGTGTACATCCATGTCTACTTTAGTACTGCTGTAAACTGTATGATGACAGCACATATGCTAAGTTAAACAAGATTTTTATTTATTATACAAAGACATGATTATTTATAATCATCACATATTATCAAAATTACATTCAGTTATTTATCAGTAAACTCGAAGACAGTCTAAAGTGTGCCACTTTGAAACTAATTTCATATTGTTTATCACCAGGATCTCCCAAGAAACTTGGAGGACCTACTTCTACCTGATGACACTGTGTTTGTACAAGATATCTATGCTATAGGAACTCAAGAATCTTGTCCAGAGAAGTAGGTTTTACATAGAACGTACATATGTTGGTTATTCATGGTGAAAGTGTTCATGTTGTGGCCCTGGTTAATGCCAGTTCTACCACACAGTGCTTGAGGGTGAAAAATCGAATTTCCGTGACCTTTATCTTTAATCTTTTTCTTTCCAAAAGTTAATCATTTCTTTCTGAGTATGTACCGTTCCAATTTTATGGTGATCCGTTGCTTAGTTTTTTTATAATCTTGCTAACACTAACAGACAGACAGCTGTGAATAATAACCTTCTTTGCACAGGTAATTATGTAATGATAATAAATATATAATTTGAGATAAAGATGATGAAGGTTGTTGTAATTTCGATTATTTAAAAATGAATGAATGAATGTACACAAATAAGTCTTCCAATGAAAGTAATTATTATTAAATTGTGTTTCACAGACAAGAATGGGAAGTGAGTATCCAACAAGTGCTAGGCCCAACACATGTGTTGCTTCACTCCGCAAGCCATGGTGTGCTAAATCTACTCATTTTCATCCGACGAGATCTCATTTGGTTCTGTTCGCGTAAGTAATGACATTCTTTATACATTGTTCATCATTTTTTGATGTATAATTTATTATGTTGTTTATATTTTTATAATTATTCATAATTTTATTTGTTTCATATGCAATGGTAGCCCACTAAGGGAAATTATCCATTTACAAGTGTCAGCTACCATGATAAATTACTTGTCTAAACCATACACAAAGGAAAAGGCAAAAACGGTAATAACAACAATAATTTTAATAATCAACAATCATAACAAAAAAATAAAGTAATATTAATACTGTAATAACAAAACAACAATAATAACAATAAAATGAAAATAATAATATAATCAAAATTTTATGGATGTTTTTTTTTAAATGAAAAGGGGAGGGGAAGCCCTGTCCCGACTAAACTTTTGTTTAACAAAAAACATGTGACATGCCTAAATAAGGTCATGATGTCATCACATCATGACCATATATAGGCACATTATGACTATATATGGGCACATGATGACTATATATGGGCATACAACAGGTATTTTGATGTGATAGTGTGGACAAAGCTTAAGATGGAGGTTGTCTGCAGGATAAAGGTTACTCTATACAAAGGTCATATTGTGAAACAAGAGTAATTTTAGTTTGGAAACAGTTTTGATACATCACGTTACCATCAAATGGAAAAATAAAACAGCAAAATATTATATAATATTCCATAAAAGTGTGCTCTCGAGCAGGTTGAGTGGAAGAGCTGTGAATGTCGGGTGACCTAAAGATGGTGAAACCCTCCTTGCTCTTTCATGGTTCAGGGTAAAGACTATAAACCATAGTTCCTGTGTTTAATATGCAAGATCCGCTTATTGGCTTTAAAATCGGATTTATTATTTTTTGCCCATAAATAATAATCTTATTAATAATTGTAATAAACTATTTAATAATTTTTTCTATCAGTGAATATTTGTTTTATTGTATGATATTTTTAGGCACCTTATCTTCGATTGATTCGATATCAAATATTTTTTGTTGCTTATATTTTTATGTTAAGTTGTTTGTTATGATATGACATTCTGATATTTACATTATTTGCAATATCTTTTTTAGCAATTGAGGAAGACAGAGTATCAACACGAGTTGGTTCTATGATAAAGACAAAGGTAAGAAAAACATATGTGCCTTTTCCATTAGGATACAAAGTGCTACAAGTAAACACAGTAAAGTCTGTGGCTGCAGATCCAGAACTTTGTTTGCCGGCTGTACAAGTATCTGGATTGTCTGAAGTAACAGGCACGTATATTTTTTACGTCTTGTAAATTTACTTCAGAACATGGATATATATATATATAAATATTATTATTTAAAATTATTATTATGATCTGATTTGAATATTTTTTGTTGCAGGGAGCTATGGCAGTAGCATTTAATTTCTTTGGAACTTCATTGCTCTTTATTGCATCTCACTTAACCTGTAAGATATTAACAAACTTGATTAAGTTGTATTTTTTTATTAGCTACAATGGCAGATTGTTTTTGTTATTGTTGTCATACTGTAGGTGTTGTCTTTATAGTTGTCAATTGATTGATTGACGTGTTTAACATTTTTCACTGTAAGATAATAGGTAAAAAACATTTAGAGACACAATTTCTATGTTCAAGTTGATAATTGTTACATTACTACAAAATGAGCAAAGTTAAATTTCAAAAATGATTTTTATGATTTTTTTTTTTTGGTATATTGCATGGGACAACTATGCATCTTTATTATTATTTTGATATTACAATGAATAAATTTGTTTAATCTTACTAGGTATAATATATTATGGTTATTTATAGTTTACTTATTATTGAGAAAAAGTTAATAATCTATATGTTACGATTAGTAATTATATTAAAATATATTATCGAAATGGCAAATGAAAATTTCACAAGTAAGTGTGTTGTGAACATATGTTACTATATTATTAGTATTATATTTTTTTACAGGATAGTATTGCAATATTATTTTCATTACTGTTTTCAATCAAAATCCACAGCTGGCGATGAGAAGCTGAATGAACGCATCTTAGATTATGAGAAGATAATTTCAACGCTGCAACTACCACTAAGAAATTCACCAATCAGAAGCTACAATAAGAGCAGCAGTAAGTAGCAATCACAGATTTTATTTATTAATTATTTATTAATTGTATTAAGCCCACGACCAAGCATGCTAACTAGCGAATATATCTAGCATATATCCCTTCACAAGACAAACATAAACACAAGATACTCTACATAATCCAAGTTTTATTATAAGGCTTAGGGAGAGGATTTGTTTTGATTGTGAGAAAAAATCCTGTTACCTCGATGGGAATTGAACCTGGACCCTGGGATTGGAAGGCAAGCATCTCACCTCCACTCCCTTTAAGCTTACTCCAGCTCAACAACCCGGTTTCTTGTGTGCACAGTGCACTTATTCAAGTGTAGAGGTGTAGATGGTGGCTTGCATTCGAATAGATGTTCAGCTGGTCTGGAATTTGCTGATTTTAAGCTAGGTCAACATGGCTTCAACATATATAATTTATAAACATTAGTTTAAGTCCTGAATTACTTTGAATTTTAAAGATACAGTATGTTAATATGTTTAGTTCATGTACTTTGAGAGCCACCGTTGACATTTGAATAAATTATTTTTTGTGACAATTCAAATTCTAGTTATTGTCATACTTTAGGAGAAATTACAGCCTTCATACAATCAGTAACTAAAACATATAATATAAGGTATTAGAATAACTAAAACTGATGAAAATACAGTCACCCACAGTACAAAGGCAAAGTTGAGCTAATTTTTGTTTGTATCTTTTTTATTTGTAATGTAGCTGATGTGACTGCAAAATTTGATTGCGTCTTTTGGTGCGGTGATTTTAACTTTCGTATCGACCTTCCCAAGGAGCGGGTTGAGAAATGGATTTTAAATATGAAGAAGAAAGATGAGCCAAGCTTCAAGAAACTTTTAAAGGAGGATCAGCTTCTCAAGGAAATGAAGAGAAGTAAGTTTAAAATTTCATTTGAATTGCATTGTTAAAGGGGAGGTCCCATCTGTAATGCAAATGTATTTTTATTTGTAAATTACTGTATATATTATGTGTACAGTATTTAACTTTAAAGATGGTACATAAAAGAGAGTGTTTTTTGTGTTTTTTTTTTTTTACTTTGCTTATTTATGTTGAGTTTCAAATGGTACTGAAGTAAGTTAGGCATTCGTGCGATATTCATGTATGTTTTTTTTTGTTTTTTTTGCTTTGTGAATATTGTTAATGTTTTTATTGAGCAAACAATAATAAAAAGGAAGAAACAAACAAAATGTATTACATAAGGGATAGTCTTATAATGCATTACATTATAAGAAAATGCTTTTCAAACTTTTAAAGTAATTTTTTAAAAGGAACAGTGCAATATATAATGCTAAATAAATCAAACTACATTTACTTTTTTTTTATTTTGTTATTCTGAATATGAACATAAAACAAAGACGACAAGAAACATCATATTCAAGGGATAAAAGACACAATAAAGTACCAAAATTGGCAATTTATTTCCATTGTGGTCCTTAGACATTATATTATACCATTATAAAAATTAATTGTCTCATTTTTTTAAACTAAATTCCTCTATTAATTTCAGAGGCAGTTTTTAAAAATTTTAAGGAAGGTGAAATCAGTTTTTTCCCTACCTACAAGTTCGATTTGAACACAGATCAGTACGACACATCACCAAAAGCCAGAGTTCCCTCATACACAGTAAGTGATCCTTTGTGAAACAGAATAGCAAAATACAATTTAAGGTTTAGTTATACAGTACTGTATAGTTATTTTACAAAAAAACACAAGAGCTTTTAATCTTTATGATAGATTAAATACTATGATATTTACGGCCGGGAATCAGACATGTTTGGATAATCAGCTACGTTTCTGCCCTAGACTTAGTCTCACCTGATAGTTAATTTTCATTTCATTTCATTTTTCTTTAGGCACGAGCGCCAAGGATATGCCGATAAGTGAACTTAATTACTATCCTATGTGGCATATCCGCAGGGGACGGGACTGAATGGACCAATACACCGGGGTAACCCCCTACTCTTCTCGAAGAATGTACTGGGTTTTTATAGTGCACACAAAACAAATGCGTACACTGGGCCTACGGTTTCCTTATCCGAGAAGACTTGTTCCACCACCGGAACCATTGGCGAGTGAGCCGTTTGAACCATCGCCAATTTTATAGCTGAAGGTTACGGTGCCCATTACTTAACCGCTCTGCCAATCAACTCGTCAATTAATCATACACACACACTTGAGCAAGAATGATTGGCACAGCATTTGCCTTTCGGTCTCTCAAGGTCGCTGTGCGTTTCGCTTGTGTCCTTGGGAAGGCAGTTTATGTTTGTCTCTCTCCATGCAAAAGAATTATGGGTACCTGTTTGAAATATACTGGGAAGGTTAAAAAGGCTGCATGAAAAAGAACTGGTCACCCTACCACACAATGTGATGGGCTGCAAACAGCTCATTCCCCAACCTCAGTAATTAATACTAGACTAACTTACCTTTACACACACCATTTATGACAATACCAAATAATAATACTTGGCATGGTAATAGGTTAATCGTATACTTTTCAATTTTTTTCGTTTGTTTACAGGATCGAATCTTATATCGTTCACGCAAATCAGGCGAGGTCCAAGTTCATGTATACAATAGCTGCGAAACAATCCAAATCTCAGACCACCAACCCGTTTATGCCGTCTTCACTGCAAAGATTCGCCCCGGACGCCATGATATGCCAACTGGTGGTGGACAGTTCGCACGGGATGTTTTTGTAGAGGGTAACAAACGCAGAGCTGCAGCAACAGGGAATGCGAAATCTAGCACAGTGTGTGTTATTCTTTAACGCCTATTTTTTTATTTTTTTTTTTTTAAGATTTTTTTGATTGACAAACACATGTTATTTGTTCATATAAAGGTGTGTTATGACATCGTCATAGTTATGGGTGTGGTATGTCCATATGTGCCCATATGTGATATGGGCAAACCACAGATATTTGTCACAGAAAACTATATAGTGTGCTAAAAGCCTTATAGCCAAAGAACTGTATTATTTATACAAAAACCAAGGGTATACATTTTACTCATAATTTCATTCTTGGATTTCTATTTCTCCTAACTAAAGTAAAATCAATGTTATGTCTTATTTCACCACCCTCACTAATGCTAGTCCTTGTGTTTGTGTGTTAAAACATGTGCTGTACAGTTTATTTAGCTTGCTCAATGATTTCGATATTACAAGTAATCTTAAACAGAATTATCTGACAATTTCCGATGATGATACACATGCTACTGTTACCCTAGCTTGGTTGATTTTAATACAGTTGAAAAAAGCTTGATTTTCACTGGCTGAGATAGGTCAACCCACTTCAGTGTAGACAAAACATTTTCACAGTGGTGGCTTTGAGTCAACCCTGTTTAGCGCTATAAGCAGAATGTAGCCATAAAGTAACAATATTTATATTTAAAACCTATAATAAAAATTGATACGACAAAGTATATTTATTATGTACTACTACAACTGATAACCATTAAATAAATATGGCCCTTTATATGATAAAATAGAAATATAATAGAATAGAATAACATTAATAATTTTTAAACTGTAAACTGATTAGTCCAGAAACCTAATAAATTATTTAAAATTATTTATTAGTATATTACACTGTAATTTGATTGGTTGAAACACCAAACAAACATTGTTATAGTTTTTATATTTAAATTTTGAATAGTGAACACTTGCAACATAAAGTTTGCTTTTTACAATAATTATGTATTATACAACACTGTAAACATTATGGAAGAAAGTTTTAGAGAGACACTATAAACAATTGATATCAGTGTCAAATAGTATTTTGGGTATTAAAAAAATCCTCAAAAATTAAACCAAAGATAAGTCAAAATGCTATTAACCCATGAATGCCAATTGCATAAGATTTTATCACCTGAATCTTATAAATGTTGATCCTTATTTTAGTTTTAATCTAAGTGTGCACTTTTTCTAGTCCTCCATTTATTGAGATTGATAAGCTGTGTACATTGTGATTTAAACAAAACTGCTTCAACCCCCCTTTCCAACTGGACCACGTTGACAGGTTAATATAATCCCCTCAAATTTGGGGTATTTAAGGAGAGGTTTTACTCACATGACATAACTGAGGTTAATATGAAAAACATGAGGAATTTGGTTGTAAAGATTTGACAGATAATATAATAAAATATTGTTCTAAACCATAGGCCAAATGCCTAACACAATAAGGGTTAACTCTTCGATTTTATATTTTTAGTATTTGGTAATGAAGCAAAAGTACTTTAAATAGAAAAAAAATTGTAGTTCTTTTCTCGTTTTTTTTTAAATATTTTTACTTTTTCATCTGTCTTAACACATTTTAAATTTACAATATTAACAAAGAGGATTTCAAAGAGTCAACCGAGACAACCCAAAAGTAAATATAAGGTAGCCATATTATAATGTATACGGTATATTTTAATTCCTATGTCAATTTTATACATATATACAGTTGTGTACATAATGCCCCAATAGGACCAAGTGCAACTATGCAACTTTTTACACTCTATTTTAATCTTTGTCATTTGTATTTTTTATCACAGTGTGTTGCATTGTCACCTGTATTTAACTACTTCTTGTCCTTCACTTTCACCTGTTTTTTTTTTACCTGTCTTTCACCGTCATCTGTGTTTTACAATCAATCACTTCCTATTTTCAGTGGCGTATCTAGAAGTCTTGAATTTGGGTGGGCGGGCTGATGTGGGGTGGGCGCGAAGGTGAAGTGGGGTGGGGGGCTTGATGATCCGTTGAGGGGCGCTAATTCGCAAAATATGATTATTTTAGGTGATTTTTAATTATTTGACCGTGATTTTTTTTTGTGGGGGCGACCGGGTGAGGGCGCGAGTACTTTCTCTTACGGGGACATGCGTTCCCACGCCCTCCCCTAGATATGCCACTGACTATTTTATTTAACCTTTGTTTTACTGTCACCTGTGTTTTATCGTCGCACGCTGATGTTTTAAAGTTACGTGTGTCACTGCCACATGCGTTTTAGGCTGTCACTACTTGTTTTTTATTGTACCTGTTTCTTTTTTTGTACTTTAACCGTTTTTTTAATTTTTTTTATTTTTACACTTTTTTTTTCTGTCACCTTTTACTGTTAAAAACTCTCAATGGTACTTTACAGTTCACTATCGCCTGCATTTCCTGTCACGTGTTCTTTCAGTATTACCGATGCAGACCTTGAACAAAAGTATTTCATGTATATAACATAGATGTAAAATATGTAAATTAAAGAGTTATTGTAAAATATGGAAGCGTTTTAAAAGTCATGTATATCAGCAGTCATTGCTTGATGAGTATCCAGTATACGTTTTGCGTAATATTATTGTAGTGATGGGCAATTTTCTGTCGATCAGGACTGTGTGTGTTAATGCTTTGCATTGTGTTTCATTGCGTATTTGTAATCTACCTATTTAAATTGTTTAAGCCTTGGGAAATCAAACATGTTATCTTGTTCCAGTAAGTCAATTTGTCATGTGAACTGCGCATACCTGTATAAAAGGTCAATCGACACAAACCTATGTTGTGTAAGTGCTTGTTTACATTGAATGATTTTGATACGGGCATGTTCAGTTTAAGGTACGAATTGGCTTAATAATTACACACCTTGATTTTAATTAAGCAAATACTGATACATTGATCATCATTATTAGATTTTAATCAAAATTAGCAAAATCTCATTTTATTCAGCCAATGAAAAATTCAAATAATGTAACTCATTATTAAGCTTTAATATTCATTCATGATGCGGGCAGCACGGATGCTAAATATGTTTGATTGCATTATTAATGTATGTGCATTCGTGGCTCCAGAAAAGTCTGGGGTCGGGGGGGGGGTGTCAGAATCATGAGGTCGCCTAGAGATTTGGTGTTCTGGAATATCTCTGATGATTAGGGTGCATGAGGAGAGATTTCGTTTAGGATGGCCCAAGATTGTGCTTAGACCACAAAATTGGCAATTATAATGATTTTTTTTTTTATCTTCAAAATTGTACTTTAGTCCAACAACTTATTTGTGACATCGAATGACTGAGTGGGTGGATGCTTGCCTGTCATGGAAAGGGGAAATATTTCCCTGAACCAGCTTTGCGACCACAAACGCTGTTAAGTAATTTAGTAGTAGGCGGCGCCAGCGTATGAAATCGGGGGAGGGGGAGCAAGTGAGGGGCAAGGTACAATTTTTTGGGGGAGAAGTCCCTGAGGAAAGCAAAGTGGGCGTGGTCGGGCGTCGATTAAAATGTTTCGAAAGTGGTCCGAGGCGGAGCCCCCGAAAAAATATGAAAATTTAGGGGTTTCCCAGAGGCTTATATGTAGAAAATACATACATATTTTTTTGACGAATTGTGGTTTTCCATCTTTTATTTTGGGGCGAGGGAGGAAAATTTTCTGGAGGGGAAAATTTCTCTCCCCCTTGCACCTCTTTAGCGCCGGCACTGGTAGTAGGTATATTTTGCCATTATTCTGATATTAAATTATATATATGTAGCTCTGAATAAATAATATAATAAATGATGGTTGAAATTATTTTGTGTAGGCCTATTTGTATATTCTATTTTTGTTTCTTATACGACTCATACAAAGATTAGTGATGGCAATATACAACTATGCATCGCACCTAATCACATTACTGTTACAAATAGCCTTCCTTTACAAAACACATTAACTTGCGTGTTGAAGGGGGTTGGGATGTGGAGGTGGTGTGTGCGTGATAGCTAAGGATGAAATGACAGACATTTATTAATTCTAATTTGCAGGATGAAATGATACATTTTGAGGTAGGCCTACCTAGCTGTCATTCGCGACAATAATGTAATATAATATATAATTAAAATCATCGTGTTATTCAAAAATGCATTCAAGGCATTCTGATAAACCCTCACTAAACCATGATTGTATGCGAGTTCTGTTGATGTTTTAAGCAAGCAAATATGAATATAAATTTAAAAAAAGCGAATATGAATGCAAATATGGACTTTAATACACATGCGCAAAAAGTATATCATGGTTTTGCCGGACAACTGAAAATGTCCCTCTCAAATAATTATGAAATACATTAAAGTTTTTTTCCCCTTAATAATAAATGACGATGGTTTGATTATAAACATTAAAATAATACACAACGTATTATGTTTTGTGTATAGAGTGCTATGAAAGTTCTTGATTGAATAGACCTACCCCGGTGCCAAAAGCGGTCTTTACGGGAGTATGTAAGCCTACTAATTTAGAATAATGAAATAATTTTTTTTAATGCATAAATCTAACTTTCATTTAATAATTTCCACTAGTGTATGATACGCAACTATTATAGTAATTACTTATTAATAAAATAGTCTACAGAGATTGAAACAATTGCTTTATGTCAAGCACCTTCATTTTGGCACGAACGAAATACTGTAATTAAACAAACAAGTTCTGAACTTGTTATCTGAAGTAGTAGGCCTAATTGGTACTGGGTCAAAATTCCAGTTATTGGTTTATTTGTCGGGTTATATTTCTGTTGATCATTGATGTACTGAAAAAAAAGAAGAAGTTTATTGAAACATTTTGACACGAACGAAATACTGTAACAAACACGTTCTGAACTTGTTGTCTGAAGTAGTAGGCCTAATTGGTACTGGACCAAAATTCCAGTTATGGGTTTATTTGTCGGGTTATATTTCTGTTGATCATTGATATGTACTGAAAAAAAAAAAAAAAAAAAGTTTATTCAAACACGGAGGTAATAATTTTGGAAAAATTAAGGGAATTTCCCGTAGCAGAAGAAAGTTTGAATTGAGCCAATAGGATATGAAATGACCCTTTAAAAAATCGAACTTTGATTGGCTAACGTAAGTGACAAACAAAAGATAAAGATTGGCGTATATAAACAGACATCCCCAGATAAGAATAGTTGATTGTGCACCGGGGAGGTGTGCTGTTGAACTGCAAAAGTTCACTAATTGCAATGTTCTGTAAAAAAAAAAAAAAAAAAAAAAAAAAAATTAAAAAAAGTATAAAATGAAAATATGAAAATTACGATATTGCGATTAATAGTCATCCTTTTGTATAATGTCACTATTAACAATAAAAATTGGGGAGACAATAGACAATATAATTGTCTGAAAAATATCAACTGAAAACTTATTATTTTTAACAATTTAAAAAGTAAGAAAAAATGAGTTTATTGGCGTGGATTTAACAATTAATAGTAATTAAATAATTTTCATATTTATCTTTTGCATAGTATTCCTATAAATAATGATGATGATGAATATAATAATTTAAATAACAATAATAACATTAATAGTAACAATAGCAATAATAATAAATAAAAATAATAATAATAATAATAATGATAATAATAATAAAAATATTTATAATAATATTAATAATAATAATAATAATTCTTATTATTATAATGCTGATGGTGATGAGGACGATGGCGATGAAGATGACTACGATGACGGTGGTGGCGACTGACTGATTCATTCATTCATTCATTCATTCATTCGTAATATAAAAAAAAATCATCATAGCAGTAAAACTGAAGTGTGATGCATTTTACAATACGATTAAAATTTAATTTCATAATTTTGAAAATTTTCGGGTAGTCCCAGTGAATTGAAATCAACACAGTAAAATAAATCTAAAAACCTGAATATTACTGAGGGGCGGCCTACTGGCCGTTTTTTTTTTTTTAATTACTTTTAATTATTTTTTTAGGCATATTTTTAGGGCCCCAGTGTTTTGCAATGCCCATCCCTACGCCACTGGCATAAGCACAGTCCAAGGTGAAACCATTTTTGTTTGTCATTCAGGCTTGTGTCTGGTCACTGCTGATATAGCGCCCTCTTTCCTATCCTGTTATTCTTTCGTTTGTTGTTTTTTTTTTTTTTATGTCTGTCATTTCATCCTTGGCTATCACGCACACACCACCTCCACATCCCAACCCCCTTCAACACACAAGTTAATGTGTTTTGTAAAGGAAGGCTATTTGTAACAGTAATGTTGTGATTAGGTGCGATGCATAGTTGTATATTGCCATCACTAATCTTTGTATGAGTCGAATAAGAAACAAAAAATTGTCACTGACCAGACATATACAAATGGGCCTACACAAAATAATGTCAACCATCATTTATTATATTATTTATTCAGAGCTACATATATATAATTTAATATCAGAATAACCCCCTTCAACACTTGCGTGTTGAAGGGGGTTGGGATGTGGAGGTGGTGTGTGCGTGATAGCCAAGGATGAAATGACAGACATTTATTAATTCTAATTTGCAGGATGAAAAGATACATTTTGAGGTAGGCCTACCTAGCTGTCATTCGCGACAATAATGTAATATAATATATAATTAAAATCATCGTGTTATTCAAAATGCTTTCAATGCATTCTGACAAACCCTCACTAAACCATGATTGTATGCGAGTTATGTTGATGTTTTAAGCAAGCATATATGAATATAAATTTTTAAAAAAAGCAAATATGAATGCAAATATGGACTTTAATACACGTGCGCAAAAAGTATATCATGGTTTTGCCGGACAACTGAAAATGTCCCTCTCAAATAATTATGAAATACATTAAGGTTTTTCCCCCTTAATAATAAATGACGATGGTTTGATTATAAACATTAAAATAATACACAACGTATGATGTTTTGTGTATAGAGTGCTATGAAAGTTCTTGATTGAATAGACCTACCCCGGTGCCAAAAGCGGTCTTTACGGGAGTATGTAAGCCTACTAATTTACAATAATGAAATAATTTTTTTTAATGCATAAATCTAACTTTCATTTAATAATTTCCACTAGTGTATGATACGCAACTATTATATTAATTACTTATTAATAAAATATTCTACAGAAATTGAAACAATTGCTTTATGTCAAGCACCTTCATTTTGGCACGAACGAAATACTAATTAAACAAACAAGTTTTGAACTTGTTATCTGAAGTAGTAGGCCTAATTGGTACTGGGCCAAAATTCCAGTTATTGGTTTATTAGTCGGGTTATATTTCTGTTGATCATTGATGTACTGAAAAAAAAAAAGTTTATTCAAACATTTTGGCACGAACGAAATACTGTAACAAACAAGTTCTGGACTTGTTATCTGAAGTAGGCCTAATTGGTACTGGGCCAAAATTCCAGTTATGGGTTTATTTGTCGGGTTTTATTTCTGTTGATCATTGATATGTACTGAAAAAAAAAGTTTATTCAAACATTTTGGCACGAACGAAATACTATAACAAACAAGTTCTGGACTTGTTATCTGAAGTAGGCCTAATTGGTACTGGGCCAAAATTCCATTTATGGGTTTATTTGTCGGGTTATATTTCTGTTGATCATTGATATGTACTGAAAAAAAAAAGAAGTTTATTTAAACGCGGAGGTAATAATTTTGGAAAAATTAAGGGAATTTCCCGTAGCAGAAGAAAGTTTGAATTGAGCCAATAGAATATGAAGTGATCCATTAAAAAATCGAACTTTGATTGGCTAACGTGACAAACAAAAGATAAAGAGGGCATAATATCAGACAACCCCAGATAAACAGAGAATAGTTGATTGTGCACCGGGGATGTGTGCTGTTGAACTGCAGAAGTTCACGAATTGCAATGTTCTGTAAAAAAAAAATAATTAAAGAAAGTATAAAATGAAAATATGAAAATTACGATATTGCGATTAATAGTCATCCAAACATTTTAAAAAGTAAGAAAAAAAAATGAGTTCATTGGTGTGGATTTAACAATTAATAGTAATTAAATAATTTTCATATTTATCTTTTGCATAGTATTCCTATGAATAATGATGATGATGATAATAATAATTATAATATAATAATTTAAATAATAATAATAACAATAGCAATAATAAATAATAATAATAATGATAATGATAATAATAATATTTATAATAATAATAATAATAATGATTCTTCTTCTTCTTATTATTATTATTATTATTAATAATATTATTATTATAATGATGATGGTGATGATGGTGATGATGACGATGGCGATGAAGATGATGACGGTGGTGGTGACCGACTGATTCATTCATTCATTCATTCATTCATTCATAATTTAAAAAAAAATCATCATAGCAGTAAAACTGAAGTGTGATGCATTTTACAATACGATTAAAATTTAATTTCATAATTTAGAAAAAATTCGGGTAGTCCCAGTGCATTGAAATCAACACAGTAAAATAAATCTAAAAACCTAAATATTATTGAGGGGCGGCCCACTGGCCGTTTTTTTTTTTTTTTTTTAATTACTTTTAATTATTATTTTTAGGCCTATTTATGAATGGCCCCTAATAAATTTAAAGTTTTGTTTACAACTCCTTATCGTTAATCTGCGCTTACGTTATTGTATACGACTTCTATTTGTTGAGCCTCTAAACTGTATTGCTCAATATGCACTGCATGATGGCATCAACGATGAGAACCGCTGTCCGCCCCAGGAGATTCAACTGTGTTTTATTGACATTGTAACCCCGAAGAAACGCAAGGTCGAGGATGCTGTAACAGGC